CCCCCCCCCCCCACCCTGACGTAGAATACAGGTGGCTCAGGACTGCAGCGGTGTTGAATTCGGTGCTGGTTATTGCATCGTCTCCTGCTGTGTTGCTAATCTCACGGTTGAGCGAGGTGCTGCGAAGTGGCCATGACTGAGGAGCCTGTTCTTCTGCAGAAAATATCTAGTAAGTACCAGTATAATGTATGGTCGCCGGTTCTTTACACCACGCGACGGACGACAACAATAATTCGAATGGCCAGAAAGAGAGAAGTCGGATGGACGAGAATAACCCCGACAGGAAGATAACCACGCCATGAGACGGGTTTTACAAAATCGAATGCTTCCCGAGGCGTTCACGATTGTAGGGAGCAGCAAGCTCAAACGCGCCAACGCGCCGGCGGCGAGTGTTCCCCTTCTCAGAAGAGGAAGAAGACACATCCCAAGAGACCATCATAAGTACGTACTCGTGACCCTTGACATCGTTCCACCGTTCTGAGAAGCCAAAAGTCAAACTCAGCGCTCCCATCACACAAGCAATGAGGGCAGTACCATAACAGAAGAGGAAATAAACAATCCTTAGACGTACCGGGGGACTGCCGTCTGTTATGTTGACCCGGAGCCCATCAACGACAACCTAAGGGGGGGGGGAATAGGTGTAAAGATCGAGTTTCTGTTCCAGCTTGTGCTTGGTTTTTTCCGGTCATCAGACATGTCACCAAACAGCATTGGATAGATAGATGTCCAACGTACATCAGTCCCCGACAACTGCAACACAAGGGCGGGGCTCACATCCTCCCCCCCCGGCTCCCCACAACACCAGCACTGACCTCCTTCGTTGGTCCTGCCATTTGGTTCTCTCCCGCTCTGCTAATTAACGTTCTCCCTCGGTCGCTCGCTAACCCGCTAAGCTGTCTCGTTGCTGCTGCTGCTGCTGTTATGCGTGCGGAGCTTTTCGTGCACGCAAATAGACAGGGTTTGTTCTCAAGATCCCCACTCGCCCTTCAGCCGCCGTCAGAAAACTGTAGTTGCTGCGAGAAAGGGTGGTAGTAGCCGCAGTCCAGTCTGTTCTGGGGCGCGGGCGGGGGTTAGAGGCTTCGCGGGAGCAAACAACGATCCGTTTGTGGAAAGTGATGATCGGTTCCGTATTGCGAAAGTGCAACCTTGAAGAACATGAGGCGGGCAGGGGCGGGGACAGACTACTTGATTTGTTTCGGTCTCCCCTAACAAGTTGCACGCCTTCCTTGTTGTCAAATTTCAAATTTCGCACGCGTTCTCGAAATTTTCCAGGAAGAATCTAGTGGACGGTTGCGGCATGATCGGGGCCGGGCTCTTGTTCCCGCTCAAGTGAAACGCTTAGCTCTTCGCGTCTAATGGAATAATCGAATGCGTACAACAAGCTTGACGACAAGTGACGACATCATGCCAGCAACCAACGCCATACGTGCGTACTTCAGTTCGGTGTACACCAGCCGTGTACATTCATGCGCCACGAAGCGACGACTAGTCTAAACAACTGCACAGCCATGCTAAAAAAATGCTGCTTCGCGTTGGTGGCGTTGCTGCCCATGACAGCGGTGTCCGCCTCCCAGTTTACGACGACGGACGCCTGCAACTTCACTTTCAGCGATGGAGAATTGCCGAACTTCCGCTTGCCGGAAGCAGGGCCAAACAGCCCTGGTGACGTCCAGCTCAATCTCGGGAACAACATCATCACACGAGGATGGGTGGAGGAAGACGAAAGTGAGTCGATTTCGACGTTATTACAGATGTACCTAGAAGTATCAAGCGTGAGCGCGAAGGTGACGGAAAGAAAATGCCACGTCGTTGGCATGAAATTGTCATGTATTTATTCATATGTCTACACTGGTGCGTGTGCCTCGCGGTGCACTTGTGTATAGCACTCGAGCAGCGGTAGTCGATGCAGGTGCGCAATGACTTTGGCTGGCGCACACATTGAAATGTCTGTGCGTACGTACGTGTGGTACGTCAACGGACGGTGCCAGCCAGCGATTTGTTGGAGGGCAAGGGGCGGGTTCCGCGGTAAAGACGAATTGTCTGTCCTGCGGCCAGGAAAAACTCACATGAAAAACCGTTTTTGGATTTAAATGTATGTCTAAAACGGCGTTTAAAAGCAAAAAATAAGAGAATAAACAAAAATTGTGATCGGATCACCTTGATTTATTTTTCACCGCGCCTCCATTTCTCCTCGGCAATCGATTCCGCTTGGCCGATTTAGGGGGGGTGGAGTCACTCAGAAAGTTCATCAGACAAAAACTCGACGTGGGGACCGAGAACCCCAAATCCAAGGACTTTTGAAATTGCTCAGCTACTGTCAGCTTTTGAGCAGCTGAAAGTCCATTGCAAAGCAAAACTGAGACATTCCAATAATAATATATTTGTGATCACCACCTCAAAATTACCCTAATTCGAAGTCAGGAGAGATTGAATCATGTAGAAAGTGTTGCGAGAGGGGGGATATTTCAGTGTAATTCCTAGTAATTCCAGGTTACCCCTGCTTTTGCGCATATATATCAGTGCGTAGCTGTATAACGGCCGCATATATCCTGATCGAAATTCTGACGACGAATTCTTGATGTACACCACAACATATGTTCAGTGCCTGTCGTCTTGTTCTCTGCTCATCATGTACAACAACAGACGGAACCTTGCATAGCTGCAACGGTGAATCGAGTGCTTACCATGTCGGGGACGACACTTGGAACACCACATACATTGGGAACGACGGCGAAGAGCTCGAAGTTGACGTGTTCTACGCGACCTACCAAAACCAGCTCTGGGTCCGCCACCTCCAGGTATGTACCCATTTTGAGAATTATGAATTTCATATGCCAAACATTAGTCTAGGCGTGGCTCCAGCACTTTTTTGTGACCACGGACCGAGTATTTGCTAGATTTTGGTATAAGCAACCGACGCGAGTTTATGTGAAGAAAACAACAACAATATGGCAAACAAGTAAGATGTTCTCCCATCTACAGCAATGGATGACCCCCGAAATAAAATACCCAACACGAGGCTAGTGGCCTCGTGTATGCCACTCCAGAACTCTAACAGCGCCCGTGCATCTGCCTCACAAGCAAACCTAGACGCAACACGTTATTTTGCTCCCGGTGCAAATTCTACGTTTACGTCCTTCATCCTGTTTCCAGCGCGACCCAGCTACGCCATATCGCTTCACGCTGAACAGCTGTGCATGAAAGACACGCACGTTCGCCTTACGCTCCACCTAATTACCGTAGGTGGCCTAAGACACCACACCACCTGGAAGGATTTTCTAAGCTCGACTGCTCATGCGGCAAGAACGGCGAGGGTGCCGAAAATGAAGGCTTTGAGAGCTTTCCGCGAACGATCCTTTTGGTTTTGGCAATCTCTCCGTTGTGGAGTCATCGAGATTTGAATTTCGGCCCAGGGAGTCTGGTATCTTATGCGACCTACGGTATCCCAATACTCGGGGCACCACTCTTCTGTGTCTTGGAGACAATCACCCCCTCCCTCTCCCGTTCATCGACAACTTTTCCGCCAGCCCCACATGGACCCAAGTCTGTACGAGGCCCTCAACGACACTACGATCCGGCTGAACATCACATGCGCGAAGATGGACCATTCCAGCTCGCTGCATAACGGCTGCCTCGAGTTCACCGTCAACTTCACAGAGGCCACACCTTACAACTACACCGAACCATACGAGTTCGTCGACGACTGCTCTCACGGATTTTCCAGCGGTGAACGGGTGCAGTCCGTTGTAGTGCACGCGGCGTCACCCATAGGGCCCACGAGCTCGGCTTCCCTGGGCGTCGGAAATGCGCTCATTTTGGCCGGAAAGGCAGACCAGGGTCTCCCCTGGTCGGAGGGGTTTAATGAGGACGGCAGCCGGAAAGATGACGAGTTCTGGAGCGACTGGTGGGCCGCCATCGATAGTCGGTACGGTAGTACCGAAGAGAGTGGTGAGTGCCAGGCGTGCACGACAGATTCTATTCAAATGGTCGGCATGTCGTTACTGCTGTCTATTGACTTCAACAAACTTGTCATTTACAGCAGCGAGCCAAAAGCGCGATTCGCTGATGTCTCTCATGATGTATATTCGTACGGAATTATGGTCTTTTCTGTCGATACTGGTCACCGGTCGAAAGTTGATGACGGCATGCTGAGCGCGAAATCAATACAGCAAGCGGCTTGCACCACCAACACGTCGATTTCATATCCTTAGTGCTAAATCTGGGCGAAACTTAGTATTGAAACAACACAGCGTAGGGGCTCCAAAAGATGCCTTCATTTAGAAGATGAAAAAAGAGAACTGTTTTTGTATTCGATGTTTCGGAGACAATGTGCGCACCAATAACGTAATGGAAAACCGCACGCCGGGCGCCTGAAACACGATTTATTGCTACGTTTGGTATCATGAGATCTGATGGTGGGGGTACTTCGTGTGCCTATTTCATGAGTAGCATCGATTACGCCGCGTTTGCAGCTACACTGCCACCCTCGACGACCGGATTTGTCGTGTTAACAAAGTTCGAACTTTCCCAACGCAACGGCCCGTCAAACGTGCGCTGCCCCCTTACTGACCCGCTCTGCCACGAACAGATGATCCGTGCACCGAGTATGATGGAATAGTCGATGCTGATGGTGTCACTTGCTGCTCTGACGAGGACAGCACCTGCGACTCGGGAGATGTTGACAATGACGAGAGGTTCTGCGGTGATGATAACCCAGCGCCCTGCGAACTACTTTGTGAGTCGTCGTGTTCTAGGAACGGTGATATCGAAAGACTCACGGCAACAGGCACGAGAAGAGCCTCCACAATAGGATTTTTCCAACAGCAGTTGGTTATGTGTAGTAATAGTCACTTAGCCCATCGGGATGACCAACTTTTCCCTTCTATCCCCATCGGTGCGCCATCACATCTACAACAGATCCCCCGAACAACAGAAAAAACATTTTAACAATATTCCCACACTCAAATAGGTCCCCCCGCCGATTTAGTCGACGATATCCTGTGTCAACCATGTCATAACCAAATCAGAAGTTCAACTCTCACCAAATACAATATTTGATACCAATACCGCGGTAGACAGTTCAGTTTCATGTGCGTATTGATGGAAAGGAGCAACTGACCCGTTTCGCGAAAAGAACGAAGATGAGTGACATAGACCGCTCTGTGTGAGTCTAGCTTGGATCTCTTCGGTACGAAACGGTTCAATCCTGAAGCGGAAGTCTTCCCTGCGAGCAATGGCGGGAGAAGGGATGAGGACGACACAAAACAAAAAAAAACAGCTGTATGTACATACATGTAGTAGAATTTGTTTTTGGTCAACGTCTCCCGCCTAGGCCTCGACCATTTGTGGTACTGAAGATCGTTTCGTGCTCCTTTTGGCGCTAGACAATGCTCGTACCTCAACTACCGCGTCCTGCGTCGTAATGACGCCCATGGTACAATTCCTCCACTGCAGACCTGAGCTGTCAATTCCCATGATTGGTCATCCCCCGTGGACTGTCTCAAAGGGACCTCTGCTCCTTCCCGTGTGCGCCTCCCCCGACCTCGGCCACAGCTTACACCTACCTTGGATGTTTCGAGGACAATCGAGACAGGGAGCGTTTCATGGAGATGACGGCAACGCGGCTGGACATGACCACAGAGGTGTGTGCACACGACGTACGGTCGTCTGCATGGTACCTTTCGGGGGGAAAGCGGGGATTGCCGTTGCTGTTGCTATCCGCAGCGGCTCTTATCACCGAAGCATGTGTCTTGTGTTTGTGTTTGTGTTCGTGGTGACCGTAGTCGTAGTCGTCATCACGGTCGTCATTAATGTCGTTGTCGTAGCCGTTGCCGTAGCCGTTGCCGTAGTCGTAGTCGTAGTCGTAGTCGTAGTAGTTGTTGTTGCTGTCGTTGTTTTGTTGTGTTTTGTGTTGTGTCCAGCCTCGCGTGAAACGGAAAGAGCGAGCGGGCAGCGTCGAGGAATATCAGTAAAGATGACAAATCGCACTGCTGTGTACACTGTCGGCTCACATTAAAAGCTGGGATGGACCATGTCGGTTTCGCCGCACCTGCACCAGACGCGGTCTGCCGTGAGGTGTTCAGCGAGTCGAACAGCGAGCTGCATCCCAATCTCACGAGACG